AAGAGTTTGTTTCTCCGAAATCAAGACCACCCGCGGAACTACAAACAAATGTCGTTTACAAGATCCCATGCGCCGATTGTCCGTGGAGTTATATCGGTGAGACTGGTAGATGTTTACAAACAAGGAAGAAAGAGCATAGTAGAAACACAAAAACCTTTAAAAAAGGTTCCAACATTGCTTCACATGCCTGGTTGAACGACCATTCCATCGACTTTGACAATGCACGCGTGACTGACAAGGGAAATTTCCGCGTTAGAAAAACTTTGGAATCCTGCCACACAGCAATTACGAACCATGCTGACAATAATGCGAAACAATTACCAAGACAATATTCAATTTTATTTTGAACATCACATTAGCATTTTTAACTCGCACACAAGCATTTCTATTGTCTTATTATAATTTTGTTTTTTTCAGACTTTTCTTAGTATATATTTTAACGTTCGCGCTCTCTATCTATTACTCGTTAAAGACTGCAGACTGGTAGTCGAAAGCTCGTTTTAAACAAATTTTTAACCAGAGATCGTTTTTCTATTTTTCCAAATACTAATTTTCTCTTCAAAACTTTAAGAATCCTGCGAACAGGAATCCGGGAAGGTTCTCTATCCCTTGTTCTTCTCTGCAACACTGCGACCGGCACGTATATTTTATTTCAAGCTACTTGTCTTAACTTTCTCGTTCAAAGCATTTCAATCAAGAGAGGTGAAGAGGAGTGGAAGTTTTGGAGGGAATTTTCTAGTTTCAGTTTTAGAACGATTTCTGGTGGCTAAAAAAGTTTAAACGACGTTAAAATGAAAACAATAAGCTGCATTTATTTTGCCTTAGAGTAGAAGGTAAGTTGCCCCAGTTTCGCTGGCCATATTAAATTGGATCAGTTATAACTACAGCACAGAAAATATAAATGCAATAGATCTTACCGAATTGAATTCTTCGAGCTTGTGTTATTCTGTGAATTTGCCGACTGGCGGCTTGTGCCAGCGCATGTGCATGTTTCTGTTTCAGGGATGTTCATCGTAGAATTTCTCCTCAAAAAACTATAACAATAAACATCAGAAAGATACTTCTTTATGTGTCGTAAGAAAAGATACGGTAAATCAAAGAAGAGGACTCAAAACTTTGCGATGAACTATCACGTTGTCCGCACTACATCAAAACAGTGAATGTGGCATCGCCAACATCAGGACGACAGCAGATTGCAATCACTTTTTCAGGTTCTGCGCATGACTGGGACAGAAAATAAACCTCCGGTATGCCGTCGGCGTGGCTCACGTCCTGGTGCTTAAGGTCTCTAATATTAAAGCGCATGGGGAATGTTTAGTGTTATTACGGTTTACGGTATTTTAGTAATCATTTTAGCTCTACGCTATATGTTCTACCATCTACATTCTACTCTCTACGTTCTCCAGCTACTCTCTTCAATCTACGCTCTACGCTCTACCATCTACCCTCTAAGCCCATCTACGCTCTACTCTCTTCGTTCTACCAGCTACTCTCTTCGATCTACGCTCTTCGATCTACGCTCTACGATCTACCCTCTAAGCCCATCTGCTTGGAAGGTTATTGGAATTTTTTATTTTTTATTTTTAATTTTTTAATTTTTTTGTTTATTTCCGACACGCTTCGTCTCTATCTGAGACTTCTTCAGGGAATGATTTAAGTTTGCCTAAGTTTAACTTCCCAGGGAAGTGAATAACTGCTGAAACATCCTGTAAACGGACGTTACAAGAAACGCCTTAATTCACATGTTATTGCGTGTTGTTATATTTTGGGAGCTGTATGGCCCCCAAAATATATAAAAAAAAGTTAAAAACTAATAAAAAACATTAAAAAAAAACATTAAAAAAAGACATTGTTTTGTTTGGAAACGTCCCAAAGAAATCCTGTTAGAGTTTCTTAGTTGTCTCTATAGCAAGAATGATCGTATCACACTTACGTACTAAGTTATTGACGAAAATAGTATTTCATTTCTCGATTTATTTCTTTACAAAAATGCTTATTTTAGCACTCTGAAGTTTTCTACCTATCAAAAGCCACTAAGTATCTGTACATTCCCTTTGAGTCATTTCAACCTGCGAGCAACAAGAGGGCCTTTATTAGAGGCGAGCTTATGTGCTATACTAGAAATAGCTCCACGTTTAAAGCCTTTAGCGAAATGCGAGAAATTTTGGAAGCGCCTCTGGCTTCGCAGTTACCCAGTTGGGTTTTTACTTCTTTTATTCAGGGAGGTTAAATACAGTAACAGAACTAAATGGCTTTTGCTAAAACGTAAATCGCGCAACGGTAGAATGGTAGTCTTTAAAACTACATTTAACTGTAGTCATGCTAACTGATGTGAAGGACATTTTGTTATAGTGTACTGAAAAAGTGCGAATACTTAGGTCACATGACTTTGAATGCTTAGTGGATGTTTTGCGACCATGTGGAGATGTTGTTTACTAGTTTTTAGGGCCGTAATTCGTCGTAGAGATTGCTGTTCATTTCAAGTTCGAAAAAATGGTTTAACTCAGAACCACTAACATCAAGCTGGTTATCCAGAGACATTTACCAGACTTAGACTGTATTGTCAGTTATACATCTACTACTACTTTAGCACGTATGTTTTTTTGTGGCCATACGATTAGCGCTAACCGTATGGCCCCCTAATATAACAACATGCAATAACATATGCATTAAGGCATTTCTTGTGACGTCCGTTTACAGCATGTTTCAGCAGTTATTCACTTCCATGGGAAGTTAAACTAAGTTAGGCATGCTTATGTGCTCTATATGCTGTTCAATGTTAGTTGTAATCATTCCCTGAAGAAGTCTCAGAGAGAGACGAAACGCATCGGAAATAAACGAAAAAGCTTACACCTACAAGAAGTCTTCCTTTGTGCTGCTCACTAGTCTTCGTTGAAAAATTTAAGAATTAAAAAAAAAAAAAAAATTCCAATAACCTTCCAAGTAGGTGGGCTTAGAGGGTAGAGCGTAGATTGAAGAGAGTACCTGGTAGAATGTAGAGAGTAGAGCGTAGATGGGCTTAGAGGGTAGATGGTAGATCGTAGAGCGCAGAGCGTAGATTGAAGAGTAGTTGGTAGAGCGTAGAGCATAGATGGGCTTAGAGGGTAGATCGTAGATCGTAGATTGAAGAGAGTAACTGGTAGAACGTAGAGAGTAGAATGTAGATGGTAGAACATATAGCGTAGAGGGTAAACTCAATACAGAATTGTACATTCAAAAGATTATTAAAATACTGTAAACCGTAATAACACTTTAATAACACTGTAATATATATGAGATAATAAAGAAAGCCAATAAATTACAATTACAAAAATTACAGCATCGCAGATGATCGAGAAACTCGCACTTGCAACCCAACAGTTTTTATCACCCTACTGGTTTTTTAAGGTTCTAAGCTAGTGTAGAGAGTAGTCAAAAATTCTTGAACTGATAAACTCGTAAATACCTAGAGTGTGGAACGTAGATGGTGGAACAAGGAGTGTAAGAGCTTTAAGAGCGTAGCGAGTTGACTGTAGATGGAAGAATATATAGCGTAGAGCGTAGAGCGTAGTCAGGGTAAACTCAATACGGAATTGTAAATTGAAAACAATTATTAAAACACTGCAATCCGTAATAACACTCAACATTCTGTAAGCGATATATTTGCTACAATAACTATACGCCACTACACCTCTACAGCGTACGCATATCCGAGAGGAATGGAGCTTAAACATTCAAAATACTACCGTAGAGTCGTAGAGCTCTACGAAAATTTCTACCCCTAATCGAGCTTCCTAAAACGGGTTGGGTATATAAGTTGTTGCTGCGCGCTGTCCAGAAGTATTCTTATTTTTGCGCTGCCCACAAGTATTCTTATTTCAAAATTGTGAAAATAGATCTGACTGAGTTATGTGGGGAAGCAGTCAATCATGTCTATTAATTTATTTAATTCATTTGATTTAATTTGAACTGACCCTTGATCCTTGATCCTTGATCCTGGATCCAGTGATCCTTGATCAGGTTTTTCCAGGAAACCTCAAATTTCCTTAATACTGTATAACAAATTTGTATTTTAAGTAATTTTTGCAGGGTTGTTGTATATCTCTTAAACGTCGTAAAATTATATTATAAATGAACTCAGATGAAAGGCACCAATTTCCATTTTGCACGTATCAATTATGGCATTAACATTCGGTTTCATCCGCTACACTCTGAACAATTTCACTTCAATATATTTCTGTCAACATGTTGTTTAAATCGACTCTTGAAAGAGTGATTTGGCATGAATACCACAAAATGCGACTCAATTTCACATAAATATGATAGATAGTTTAACTCTTAAAAAATCCATGTTACATTCTTTTAACAAGAGTAAATAATAACAATACTGGTGAGACTTTATATTGAAAGCAAGAATCAAAACAAATCAAAACACAACACTTCTTTTTACAAATCAATCAACTGAATTGCAATCCTGCACATAATGAAATAATTTTTGGCATTGAAGATGTTGTTTACTTTTAGACCTGAAAACTTGAAATGTACAGTATAGGTCTCTTTTTGAAAAAACACACAGTCTTACATACAATACCGAAAAGACAGTTTTGACAAACTAACTTACCCTAAAAACCAATTTGCCAATTCTTACTGTTTTCCAGTGATCTTCACTGAATGGTTTGCCACCATAAACAACCAAGTTGGCTCTGAATCTATCAATCAGTGTGTCCATGTGCAGCTGTAGAAACAAGTACAAAACAAGTATTAAGGAATATAACAGAGAATCATGCCAGGTGGTCTAAGAAATCCCAAGGGGCAAAAAATGTTTATTATGTTACACACATAAAACATTTACAAAACTTGGATTGCAACGGGTACATGTGTTTAACGCATTATTTAAAGACGATTCAGGGCTTGAAATAATTTTCTGCGTGGTGCTGGTCAAGTTGTCCAGTCAAATCTATTTTCACTCACACAAGAGAAGATTTTGGCTGGACAAATGCTTAAATATCAAGCAAGTACATTTAGTGAGCTTTCATTGTGGAAGTAGCTCATATTCAGTACAAAAAGTACAGAATACACAGTACAACCACAATGTTCAGTAAGATTGATTTAATTACACTTTTGTGTCCCACTATCGCTTCCTACTGCTTCTACTATTCAAGTTTTATTCACTTACTTCAAGCGATTCACGCAAAATAAGTTGTTGTAATTTTTTAACTTCACCTTAATATAAAGACCTTAAGTTTTAAGATACACGTTAAGAGGCATCTGTTTGGCTTCCCACATTAGGTTGCAACCTTACAATAAGGATTAAAGTCAAACCTCCCCACAACAGCCACCTTGGGGACGGAAGAAAGTGGCCATTGTGAAAAGATGGATGTTATGGGGAGATAGGGGTGTAATATGACACCTTTTGAGGGGGTGCAACATTTGTTATCTTTAAAAATGCTTGTTTTAGCATGTAAATACATGACACTATCAAAATATGCTATAAAAACAGAAACTGAACAGAAAAAGAGACTAAAATGTGCTAAATCAAAGTGGCTATGAGCCACTCAACTTGGAAAATGGATCATCTGTAAACAATGACAATTTTGATGTCACTGACTTGAGGTGTTAATCCGTAGGTTAGTTAAAGTTAAAGCCCACTGGCATTGTTAAGAAATAGTGCAAAACACAATGGTAAGAGAATACGCGAGGAGATGTAACACTGTTGCAAACATTCATGAACTTATTGGTCCGAGAGACTGAGTTATCCTCAACCGAGAGACCAAGACAATCCACCGTAGGAAAAAAGATGGCGGCTGTACATTTTACCACAATGCCCTGCGAGCCTACCACAGCCTATAAGGCACAAAGAAAGCCAGTTTCTTTTACAGTATTCGTCCCTGTTCCANGCTTCTTGTCCGATCACCAAAGCAAGTAATAATTCTCATTTTCATTCCTCTCATTTTTTCGTTCTTCATTGTCCCAGCCAGTATCAGTGAATTTTTTTGTCTCACTTTGTTACCTTTTCTCATCTTAGAAATTACAAAAAATGCGTTCAGCGTAGAGTCACTATACCATAAGGACAGCACCATGTCTCCTCCACTCAACAAAGTTAAGCCCTGTTCGGCGGGGTTCGCACTTGGATAGGTGCCCAAATACAAATACCCGTGTTGTAATAACTTCTTTTTTCTGCTTCTTCTTTTTTTTTCCTATCCTTTCCAAGGCAATATTTAAGACTGCAGAGCTCGCAGCCTTCTGTAATGTCATTTCTTCTATTTATCAACTATTTGCTCCTCATTTTGCCATGTCCACATTTCTGAGTATTTATTTACAATATTGTATAAATAAACAGTGAAACACATCGTTCGAATTCTCCTCAATTCTCTTGACTGTTGATTGTCTAAAACATTTAATCACGGCTTGAATCATTCGAAAATCCATAAAGTTCGTCAACTTTGTGACTTTCAGTGTCTTCTTTTTCGGCAATCAAGTATGGTTAACCCCATATGAGTGGGCACCTTTGGGAAATGAGCTATTTATATAATTACAGTAGCTTCTATATAAAAACATTCGTTTGAAAATTTATTCAATGTAGAGCATTTCTGCGGTAAGATATTGAGTACTTGCGTCAGAAGTTCATAGAATAACTAACTTGACACGGTGCAAGCGACTGTAAAACGGCCTTAAATAGCGGATGCTCGAAACCCAGGGGGGAGACTCCTATATGAAAAGGTTGGGGATGCTCGTCGTCTCGGGTACAAATCAAGGATTCTAGTCTCACTTAGGGTGTTGATGACGAAACGTCACCATTTTTACCTGTCAAAGTATCCTTTAGGGTGCACTCAAAGAAATTATAATCAAAAGAAAAGCTCTCATTTAATTTCTGTTTTTAGGCTTGATTTCTGCTCATCTCTCGAGTATGCCAGTCCGGTCTACAAGTACGTGTGGGATCCTTTCTTGAACAGTGGCTAGTAATCGAAACTAATCCGTTTTAAGTTGTATCTTTTAGGGGTCTAATGAAGCTTTGGCAACTCCCATATTAGTCTCCTTTAGGAATTAAATTCAAATTTTCCGCTGAGCATCCCTGACCTTTTCATATCAGATTTCCCCCCAGCGGTTTCAAATGTCTAACAGGAAGTGATAGAATGAAGTACAGTAAACACCCGCGTATAAGAACCTAGAATTTTGGGGTTCAGGCTGAATGGGTTCTTATATTTTGGGGTAGTTTTTCCAAACTCAGGCTGATTAGGTTCTTAGTAGGTTCTTATTTGTAGGAGTTGTCATAGTGATACCATTCAGAGAGCTACTGTAGTACTAGTATGTCATAATGGTTGAACATTTATTTTAAACCGCAAAAATGCCAAGCCTTATTTTTTAAACAATAATAAATTCAGTATCATAGGCTACCATATTTACAGTTGTATTTGATAATAATGTAAATTGTTAACAGNCCTTACAGTGAACGCTATGTTCCTACTCTGTAAAAAGCTGGTCCTCTTAAGGTTAATAGGAACACAAAAATGAGGAACACTCGATCCCAGAGGAACGTTCCTTTACAAATATCGGAACAGCCGAAAAAACTTAAAATTTGTGAAAAATAAACCAACAAGTTCAGCTTTAAAGCTAAAAAAGCATCTATTAAACGTTTAGGTAAAATAGAACCAAGCTTCAAAATCTAGAGCACTTTGATGTTCTTGAAGGCAGTAAAATAAACCCTGTAAAAATTTTGGGAAATGTGGAGGAAGGAAGGAACAAACAAACAATCAACCAGATGGACAGAAAATGAAACAAATGCTTCTAATGAAAAAACTTTAAGGTACAAATATTTTCCAAGGAGTGATTTTGAGGTAGGGAACATTTTTGTAAAATAAAGATTATAAATGATATAAACCTTTTGAGATTTACAATTTATTCTGACCAATGAGCACTTCTTTCTATTTTGGGTATGGACAGGTGTTATACCAAAAATAACTACCAAGGACATAGCTAACAGGCAAACAGAGCAAATCGTGGAAAGTAAATCACTGGTAGCAAACAAATAAACAAACAAACTACACTGCCTTAGTAATGTTTTTTCTCTATACGGCCCTGACTACTAGACGCAAGGCATGTTTCTTACAGGAGGAGTCCCTAAACTATTTAACTTTTTGCGTAGAGCTTCAAGTTAATAATGCAGATCAAGTACTTTGGAGCCTGGAGTCTTGCCTGCAAAGATAGGCCAGAAAGGACAATAAAGACAATCAGAAGGCTTCTCTGAGCCAATATGTGAATGGAAAAGATGAATGAAAATATGTTTGCAGTTACATGTATAAGGTCCACAGAATGCTGTATTTGATTTTCACGGTTCTAGTAACTTCTCCATAAACAATGCAAAACATGACGGGAACTATGTCCCTGTAACACTCTATGGAATAATTTACAATTCATCTTGATTGAAACAAAATAAGAAAATCAAAATATCTTTTGTCAATTGGTAAATTTGGCTGAACAACTTATGTCAATAGAAAGAATGGTGGAGACTTTATCACATTAGGATAAGCAAAAGGCAGGCAACCAATCAAAACTCACTTTGACCCAAATTTCTGCAAAAACATTGCAAATAACATAACACACTTACCACATTGCTTAAAAACTAAGGGGGGCTGGTATCTATTATTGACGCCACAGCCACATGTTTATTTGACCGGAGTGAGCTGGTATTGAGAATCTTGTTTGTTCTCTGCCTGGGCATGTCATAATGCATACATGTACTGTTCTGGTGTGCTTATGCTTATGTTTCTTCTTGTGCTTATATATGCTTTTAAAAGCACTAGTGAAAAGCAGCCTTTAAGCAGTTGGTTACTCATTCTGTGGTCAATTAGTTTTGGATGGTTATGTATCACAATGGTGGTCAGCAGTAACAAACAAAAATCAGACAAAAACATTTCTGCATTATATGATGGTTACAGCACTTTTCAAAAACACTTTTAATCCTGTTTAAGTGAACATCTATTTGCTGTAGTGGATTTTTTTTTTCCACAGGTGCTGGTATCCTATCAGGCTACTGCAAAGTACATTTTGTATCCTGTGTTCAAATAGGATACCCCTAGCTAAGTGGTCCTGCTGTGTTTTCTGCAAGGAACCTGATCTTACGATGGAATTTATCCCGGCAGGATATCACGTATTTTTATTTTAATCAAAGCCAATTTCTAATTCCTAAAATTTAGAGGTAGGGTCATTCAGGTAGATCTTTGAGAAGGTCATTAAAACTACTACTTCCCAGGTTTCCCTCAAGCATTCGATCAGGTGTTACAGTAGGCTATTTATTTATGTTTGCATTATTTCTGTTTCACATATGATAGCTGAAGACTTGAGCAAATGGTAATTTGAGAAAGAAAGAAAGCCATCTTAGGACATTATACAAGAAAACAAGTTGGGCTCTTTCACTCCCTCAAAACAGTAGCAAGCCATCTAATAACACATAGTTTTAGTGTCAGTATTAATATGTACTTCCCTATGGGTATATTCAATCAAATAATTTAATATATACTGTGTTGCTAAGTTCTTTTCATTTGACATGTAACAACTAAAACGTAATATCCTGGCAGCCAGTAATCTTGCAGAGGGAAGGCATTTTTATCAGCCACAACCTTGCTAAGATTCCTGCCACGAATCTCATCAAGAATACTTCCCAGTGAGAGTTCCTGCAAGATTCCTGCTTCGAGTTGCATTCCCAGAGGCAAAATCATACCAAGATCCCCATCTGGAAACTTCGCAGTCTCCTTCGAAGTCACATTAAGGTAGCTGAGCTGCCTCTGGCTACCAAGTAATCCCATTGCCCATGTTTGAAGCAAACTTCCCTTTGGGTGCACCAAAGTAGGTTTCCAATATGTACTATCCAACAGGAAAACACTTCTAAATGGACCTTTTCACCGATGTCACGCAATATCAACAATTTTTCACAACTTTTATATCGACAAAAACACCAATATATGTCATGATTGTCTTGATGAAGAGAAACAAATTCTTACGACAATCATGCTTTTCAAAGAATGACCAGGAAGATTAAAATGATAAGGAACAGTTACTTGTTGGTATTATACCTCTTACAGGTTTGCAGAAGATGTTCACAGTTTAAGTTATCTCCAACCCTTCTTTCTGTCTGACCAATTCATACAGATACACAAAGGTATAAAATACATGCGCAATTGAAACAATCAGGGAGTCTGGTTAAGCACTTCAGACTTGACATGTTCCCACACCCACTTGAACACATCCATGAAGTTGAAAAGGTAAATTAGTTCAATTTAATCAAATTGAAAAGGTAAATAAACTGTTGCGCTTGCTGATGCAGTACAACAGTTTCTTATGAAACATCCATTTTAGGATAAACTAAAGCAGTGCAACTCACCTCTGTTTCCATGGGTAGTTTTGTTGCTTCATGCTGTTTAACACTTGTCAGAAGTTCACTTATGCTTGCCATTGTAATGAGAAGAAATTGTGATTCATTGGCTAAGGAAAGAGAACTGTTTCCTCTGTCTCCTTGGTTCCATTGATTATGATGTGGAAAGAGATTAAATGATTGTACATGCAAAAATAACAAGACAAGCAAGACAAAGAGATTATTTCAGAAAGATTAATTATAGAATTCTGGGTTTCTAAGAGACCCAAAATCCAACCTACAGCAAAAGTGTTGGGAAGTTCGTAGTTCTTTCCTTCCCCTTAGTTCCCTATTTACCACTGATGACAGAGGGGGCAGGGGCAAAGGGAGGGGGTTCCTTGAACAGTTCATTTAGTCTGGGATAAAAGAAAAATGCTACACCTGTTACAGATTTTTTTATACCGGTTTTGTGAATAACTCCAAAAAATATCCTCCACGTTTAAATTAATTATTAAAAAAATTGCATGTCTTTGGTGTACAGATAAAAATTACCAAAGGCTAGTGATCTAATGGTTAGTGCATTAGACTCCACATCAAGTGTTCCATATTCCTGCCCTAACTGGGTGTGAACAACATTTCACACAAAAAATGAAAACTTTTTCTAGGGAAGTTCCTTTTTAGATGAAGACTTTTAAATTAGAAAAAGAAACATTCATTTTATGATATGGGCACTTAAAGTTTAGAGAAAGAGACAATTTAGATAGCAGGCATGTATTGACAGTCTGTAAACACCTTTTTAGATACAAAATAAAGACAGTATAATGGGGGTCAAAGAATTCATATGCCTTCTCTGTGAACTGTTAAATTTACACATACAGTACTGTGGAAACATTTGACATGTTGTTCAAAAAAACAAATTGAAACCATTTTATAATTACTAACAGCCCTTTTTGGTTTGCATAGTAAAAGTTGGAAAAGCTGACTTAGAAAGGTATGGTTGCCCTAAGTCCATATGGCTCTTGTATGCAGACACTTCCCATAAGCCTTGCAGGTCTCTACAAAATAGCCTTTGTAACCAAAGAGTGTTTCAAGACTAACCTTCAAGTTTGCAAGTGCGACCATCTTTCTCATGATGTTGAATTAGTCGACAGTTTTTACATAAAAACTGTGACATCCATGAGGCAGCTTTGTCTCCACAATCCTGGACAGAGACCCTACAATTATAAGGCACACCTACACTCAGCTTACTGAATTAGAAGATAACATTAATTAGGGTTAGGATAAGGGTATAAATAATATTATGTACATTGTATTCATAGGCACCTCATCTTGAGTTAGTACTGACAAGGTTGTAGAAAGAAAATGCCTTATGACCACTACTACACTGTAGCTCTAAAGTGGTAGCGACTGTGCAAACCACTTTTTGACAGTAAAAAATAAGTAAATAAGAAAAACGAAAATAAAGCAAACCAATAACTATGCAACTCTACAAATTCTTCTTGAGTGGATTATTTTCCTTGATAGGAAACTCCATTTACATTTATAGCAGGACACAAGGTTTTTCCACTTCCCCCATTCGCCAAAAAAAATGAATTCCTGATCACAAGTTAGGTGGTTAGTAACAGTTTCCAGCACTCTCTAGCAGTTGTACTTCGCCAAATCAATCATTCCACACTTATCAAGGGATGTTAAAATATCACACAAATGTTAAGGAAGTTTTGGTCAACTTTGTATCAATACAATCTGTTCAAAACACCATTGATTTTAGCTTTAAGTGCTTACAATTCCAAAAGGACTTGGTGAAACTCGTATTTTAATATCAAGTTGTGCTAAGCATGTCAAGATGAAACTTTTTGCAAGGTCTGAAAAAATGGGTGTATACAAAACGAAGATCGAAGATCGAAGACCGAAGACCGAA